AAAGAAAGAATTCAGTTCTATGCCTTTGAGTTTGGGATTAAATTGTGTTCCCTAAAATTGTGTGGGAATGGGTGGTTTTATAGGATAAGCAATTGGACAAGGCTGTTGAGTTGAGCCCACCAGCTGTTCCATGGGAGAAAGATGAGGCTTTCTGCTCCTACAAAGACTTACAGCCTTGGTAGCCCTATGCAGGGTTGCTATGAATCAGAACCAACTCCCTGGCACTTAACAACAACAGCAAAATTGTATGCAAGAGTTCTAATTCTTATACCTGTGAATGTTTGGATATCAGACTTTTCTTTTGTTATGTTAATGAGCACATACCAGATTGTTTTTAAGTGCTATGAGCCAGTTCTGACAAATAGTGACCAGTCACTGGAGAAGGATATCATGCTTGGTAAGGTTGAGGGTCAGAGAAAAAGAGGAAGACCCCCAATGAGATGGATTGGTCAAGTGGCAGCATTGATGGATTCAAGTGTGGCAACAGTAGTAAGGTTGGTTCAGGATCGGGCAGTGTTTTGTTCTGCTGTGCATAAATAAGGTCACTGTGGGTTGGTACCGACTCAATGGTACCTAACAATAACAACCACAATAGGGTTTTCCAGGAACAACTGGTGGGTTTGAACTACCAACTTTGTGGTTAGAAGTCCAGTGCTGATCCTACAGCGCCACACCATGTGGTTAGCAGTCCAGTGCTAATCCTACAGCGCCACACCAGGACAACAACAATAACATAACAAAATTGTGTGTTGGAGTTCTAATCCCTGTTCTTGTGAATGTTTGGAAATCGGCAAGGCATTTCTTTTGTTATGTTAATGTGGACATACCAGTTTAGAAATGTTGTGGTGCTGTGGGTAAACGTGCCAGACTGCAAAGCCATTTGAACTGCAAGGTCGGTGGTTTAAGTTTACCACATGCTTCTCAAAAATTCTATACAGGGTCGCTATGAGTCGGAATCGAGTCAACAGCACCAACAACAATAATAAATCTAATCCCTTCTAAGTAATGTTTTATAAAATGAGCAAAATAGACACAGAGAAACACTCAGGGGGAGGAGACCACATGAAGATCCATCCACACATCCTCACATTAAGGAACACCAAACCCAGATTATATAGCAAGGAAGAAACCTCTCCAGAGCGGATGCCTGATTTGGGCTTCTACCCTCCAGAGCTGTGAGAAATAAAAACTCTAGGCTTTCAAATCACCCAATTTGTGGCATTTTGTTGTGGCAGCCTGAAAAACTAAGACACACTGTAATGAATAATTGGCACATTCACTTTCAATTAGTATTTGGCCCTTGGCTATGTGTTACTATGCCCAGGTTGCATACCCAAAACTCACTGCACTGTGGTGTTTGGAGCAGGCAAAGAGGATGAGGACAAACATGCAGATTCCTGCGAAGGAGATCAGCTGCTCTGGCTTCTGAGCTGTGTCTAGAGCCAGCCATAGGATAAGACCAATCAAGGAGAGTCCTCCAAACACCCTGAAGAGGGAATGCCAAAGAGGGAATGAATGAAGGAGAAATCATAAACTTTACCTCAAAAAAAAAATTTCACTCTAAAGATTACTAAAATAACTCAGTAGTTTATTGTCAACGAACAATTGTAGATTGTTTATTGTAGATCAGACACAAAGGTATTGTGAATTGTTCACCTGGTGGCTCCCAACCTACCACCCATCTTCCCTCAACTTCTTTACTCATAGAACAAAGTGGAAGGATTCCAACCACAGGACACAAACCCTATGACTTCCACACCTTCCAGTTTCCATATCAGTATGTGTTATAAAAGACCATTTTTTTAATGATTGGTCCACTGAATAACCAAAATATTAAACTAGAAAATGTGTGCATTGCCCTCCACCCCCAATCGTGGATCTTTTCCACCCAATTTTTCAACCACATCCCCACAGATAAAAGTATAAATCAAACTACAAGCCTATTACTTATGTATCTTTTTGTTGTTAAGTGCCATGGAGTCTATTCTGACTCATAGTAACCTGGTCTAGGGCTTCTGAGGAGCAGCTGGTGAGCTTGAACTGCCTGCCTTACGGTTCAAATGAGTTTGTGGTCCAGTGCATTAACCCACAGAGTCACACCAGGACTCTACTTATGTATCCTATGTATCTTTAATATACCAAACATACTTGATCAGTACACAAACTAGTTTCCTCATGGCTGTTTGAGTCCTTTAAGTTTAAGGGCAAAAATTAGAAGGGAGATCACATATGAAAACAGTGAAAAAAAAAGAAAGAGTGTGTTGTCCATTGAGAGGCCTTAAGAGCAATAATAACAAAAGGTATTACAAGTCAACATTGAACTTCAGAGCTGTTCTCACTGGAATCCACGTCACTCAAAGTGAATAAAAACCAGTTTTCAAACTCCATAATGCTAATGAATTTAGTACAGTTCTATTCTGACATGCATGGAGTTTGAGTGGACACCCTGGGAACTGTGGTGGGATGGCTTTGGTTTTGAAAAGTATGAGTGAAGGCCTAAAAACATGGGTGAGTGCCAGGGAGGCATCTCAGGAACTACTGAGAAAGAAAAAGGGAAGCCAACTGGGTTTCGGACAAGTTGTGGGGTCAGGGATATTGATATTTCATATCTTACCATTTTGCCCAAAGCTTCAGGCGGGAGTTTTCAAAGGGCTTCAGACATCTTGTTAATTTTTTACCCAACAGCCTCTTCAATAAACGGTGAGCCAGGATCAAGAGCACCAAACAGGTGAGGACGAACAATGCCAGTGCCCTCTGGAAATCCAGAATGCAGGCTGCCAGGAAATAGGCAGCATATGCTAAAAAGAGATGGTGCAGGGTAAGAATTAACAAGGTAGCATTCCCAATGGGCAAATGAAGCTCCAATCATGAACATATGGGACTTAAAACAAGAAGACCCATCCAGAGACCTTGCCAGGTAGCCCTAATTGTTGGACTGAGCTTCAGTTTGCAAGACCAGGATAGAAATCTAGCTGTTTATTTATTTTCACTATTTTCCTTTGGCCCCATGGAGTAGATTTGATTAGCACCCACCATTTGTTGTTGTTGTTGTTAAGTGCCTTCGAGTCGGTTCCGACCCATAGCGACCCTGTACAGGGTTTCCGACCATTAGGCTCTGCAAAAGCCAGTAACCATTTCTCCAAACATTAAAGCCCATTATTTTAACCTTTCCTCTTGAGCAAAGCCATGTGGTAAGAAATGTGGCAAACAATGCTACTACCAAGGAAGATAAGTCATATGGTCCTCACCATGGCTCTTTGACTCCCCACAAAAATATCATTTTGATCTCACCATCCTCATATATACTGTTGACAATGAGGTTCCATATCATGCTAACAGTCCATTTTAAACAGTTTTATTCTCTTTCAAAAATATTTTATATCATTGTTCTTACTAGGAAACTAGTATGTATGGAACTAACTTCTCTTGTAAAGACAATATGAACCATGCCCTAGATAAGATACTCAAAAAGAGAGAAGCTTATGTTATTTGAAATACTTGTTGTTAGGAGTCATCGAGCTGGTTCCGACCCATAGTGACAAAGAATGTACAAAAGAATGAAACAACGCCTGGTCCTATTTCATCCTCACAATGACTGCTATGCTTGAGTCCATTGTTGCTGCCACAGTGCCAATCCATCTTGTTGGGGTCTCCCTCTTTTTTACTGACCCTCCACTTTACCAACTATGATGTCCTTCTCCAGGGACTGGTCCCTCTTAATAACATGTCTGAAGTATGGGAGATGAAGTATGGCCATCCTAGCTTCTAAGGAGCACTCTGGTTGTACTTCTTCCAAAACAATTTGTTTGTTCTTCTGGCAGCTGATGGTACCTTTAATATTCTTCTCCAACACCATGACTCAAATGCAGCAATTCTTCTACAGTATTCCTTATTCACTGTACAACTTGCACATGCATATGAAGCTTTCGAAAATACCATGGCTTGAGTCAGGCACACTTTAGTCCTCAAACTGACATCTTTGCTTTTGAACACCTTAAAGAGGTTTTGGGCAGCAGATATAGACTTAAGTATTATGATACTTAAATCTATCAAATTATACAGTTTTGAAAAATAGTTTACCATCAGATTTTACTTATCCCTGGAAGTGCAACTCAATAAAGTGTGTTTTAGCTTCAAGTAATTATGATCCATATATCAAATAACTCTTTGGGTCAGTCTATATAGAACATTGTTTTCCACATGGCAATCATCTTGACAAGAGTCGATATTGCTAGAATGATTGTGGTTCTTACTTCCCTGAAGTCTCATTGTCTTACCTAAACACAACAGGCCCAACAGGATTTTCTTGAATAAGCTGGCATGAGTTTTGAAGAAAACTCTCACCTTGTTGAGAGGCTGTCGGTTCCTCCTGATGAGAAGTCAAAAGTTGAGGTACAAAAATTACGCCATGCCATTTGTATCTATTCCCAGGATTTATACCTAGTCCATGGCAGAATTTGTTCATTGTCAACAAGAAAATTATTAAGTCAGAGAAGTTAGGCGAGTTCTGACAATGCCTAAAAGACCAGACCAAAATGTGCCAATGGACAGCAGTCCTAAGCAACCCTAAGGCCTAGCAGTATCTTAGGTAATCATCTATCACAGAAGTAGACACTGGTCATAATAGGGAGACTCCTGGGACTTACTCCTCCCTCTGTTCCCAAGGGACAATGGGCTGCTCTCTTTCCATATTCATAAAGTAGTCTATTCATCTGAGAGGACACTTTGAGTATTCTTCCCGAAAAACTAGAAAAACCCATAGATTTGAACAGTCAGTCAGATGTGCATTGGCAGACAGGAAGGAAAACACTACCACATGCAGGAATCCTTTAGCAGGCAAACAAACCTGAGAGAACGTGCCCAGTAGGTAGGGCTATACACGTTTGTTTTAACAAATCTTTATATAATTAATTAATATAGAGGAAAGTGATACTGTTTTTCAGTCTATGATTCTAAGAATATTTCTGCAGACTTGAAGCTTTTCTAAATTTAAAAATTAGAGAAAAAAACAGTAAAATAAATAAAGAGAGTTGTATATAAGGAGCAATTGGTAGTGGAGTCTGACTAGAGCATACAGTGACTATAGAAAGGGAGTGATACAAGTAAATGGTAGAAAGTCAAGTTGGGTAGAAAGTATAACAAGAAGCGGAGCACTCTGTATGGAGGTGAACTCTGTTCAGGAGCCAATGGAGACACATAGAGACTTTTAAACAAGGAAGTTTGTAGTCATGCTTTAGGCAATTTTGGTAGAATCTGTAAAGGATAGATTAGCGGGCTGTGAGGAACATTAAGTATACTAAATCTTTGTATATGTTATTTTAGTACTTTCGAAGAAAGGAAATGAGGTTCACAGTCCAGATTCTATTGAAGTTGACAAAGAAGAAAAGTAACTCAGACACAAATTCAGAAAAGAAATCTAACAGGGGCAAATGTGTACCTTTACTAGGATTTAAAGAAATACAAGTTATAACTTTAAGGCATGATTTTCTATCTATATAACCAGTGAATTTTTTCACATGGGAAAATATTGCTGGTGAATTTTTGGAGAACTGGACACAATTACTCATCAGAATTGTTTAAGGTGTTGTGATTGTTAAGGCTTTGTGTCAATTTGATTAAGCTGGGGTTGTCAGTGGTTTGGTAGTTGAGATGTAGTTATCATGCAAGATGAGATCGAATATAATATAATTAACTCTAATGATGAGTCAGCTATGAGCAGCCAGGTCAGTTGAAAGGAAGCTTCCTTGGGGGTGTGGCCTGTTTCCTGTATACACTGGACCCTCAGGCAAGGCTTGCTTGATTTTTTGCTCGGTCTGAATCTTGTATCTGGCTTGTCCTCTGGCCTCCAGTTCTTTAGACTTGAGTCAGTGGTCTGCTCTATTACCTACCAATCCTGGGATTCAGCAGCAGTCTACCTTGTGATCTGCCAGAGCTGCCTGCCTGTCTGCGATCTGACCTGCCAATCTTGGTTCATCTGACCTGGACTTGGGACTCGCCCACCTCTACAACTGTGTGAGTCATTTCCTTGACATAAACTTCTCTTTCTCTCTCTCTCTCGAGATATATATATATACACACACACACATACATATATATGTGTGTGTTTCATTGGTTTTGTTTCTCTAGAGAACCCAGCCTAAGTCAGGTTTCAAGAAAGGGTTGACAAAATATACAAAGATCCTTTCAAGTATGTCCTAATGTTTTCCTGTCTTACAGGTAGAGAAGAAGTAACTTGTCTAATAACTGGTGCACAGAAGCTGATTAGTCTAAGTTTGCAAGTGTTGAAGGTTAATTTTCCAGGTATTGTGAGAGGCATTACTAAAAATTAAATTACTTAAACTATAATTAAATGAATTACATTAAAAACAAAGGTAATATAAATATTATTTTATAAATTATACTAATGCTAAAAAATTCAAATTATTTTACTACATTTTACTATTATCTAGGCTCTTAAGGTATTTATACCTCTTTATATATATGTAGGAGTCCTGATGTGGCACTGTGGGTTAATGCGCTAGACTGCAAAGCCGTTTGAGTTGCAAGGTCGGCGGTTCAAGCTCACCAGCTGCTCCTTGGAAACCCTATACAGGGTCACTATGAGTTGCAACCAACTCAACGGCACTTGACAACAACCTATATATGTAGGAGTCCTGGTGTGGTTCTGTAGGATAAGCCCTGGACAGCTAACCACAAGGTCAAACTCACCAACCTCTCCTTAGAAACTTTGTACAGGGTTGTTATGAGTTGGAACTGACTTGATGACACTCAACAACAACAACATGTATATGTAAGGAGCCCTGGTTGTTCTGTGGGTTAGGCATTGGGCTGCTAACCTCAAGGTCGGTAGTTCAAACCCACCAGATGCTCGAAGGGAGAAAGATGAGACTGTCTGCTCCTATAAAGATTTACAGTCTCAGAAACCATATACAGGGTCACCATTAGTCAGACTCAACTTGATGGCGGTGGTTGTTTTTTGGTTTACGTATATGTAGCAATCTTATATAATGATGTGCTATTGAGCATCTCTTCAGAACTTCATGTTCAATTATTGGCTTGAAATTAGCCATTGCTGCAAATCATGACCCAACTGACTGTTTTGTTTGGAACACGGATCATTAAATTACAATTCAAGTGTCAAGTTACACAGCCCTTTGTTAAGCATCATTTGGGGCTAGTATCATTTCCCCACTAAAATGTCAGTGTTGAGTAGGTGCAAAAAAACTATATGGTCTATAAAGGTTAACATATACATGATAATTATAGACAATGTTTATTAATATCTTGTTTTATTCATTAAGTTGAGTAAAAGTATCAAACAAAATTCATGGCAAAATTACACTCAGAGTGCCAATTCTTTAAACATTTACCAGTACACCACTGGGTAGAGTTCAGATAGAGACCCAAGCAGTCTGAATCTATAAGTTATGTTATTAAGAACTATGCTGCCATGAAAATATGAAATATTATGCAATCATGAGAAATTCACATGAACTTTACTGTCAACTCATAGAAATGTAATGTATAAAATGATAATAGGGAAAACCATAAATACAAAATAGTGATGTACAAAATTGATAGTATGTTAACACACATGTGGAGTCCTGGTGTGGCACTGTAGGATAATCGCTCAACTGCCGGGTCAGTTTGAACCTCAAGGTCAGCGGTTCAAACTCACTAACCTCTTCTAGGAAACCCTATACAGCGTTGCTATGAGTCAAAACCAACTTGATGGCACTTAACAACAACTACAATACATGTATGTATATGTTGTATGCCATGGAGACAATTCCAACTTATAGTGACCCTATTATAGGGTAGAATTTCCCCCATATGGTTTCCTAGGCTGTAGTCTTTACAAGGGGGTATCACAAGATCTATTCTTTTGAGGAGCAGCTGGTGGGTTTCAACTGCTAAAACTAGTGATCACATTTAGCAGCCCCTGGCCCTTAGGTCCTAAATTAACTGGATTTCAAACACTTGTACCTCTAGTGAGTGTGAGGCCCCAGCACATACCCCAGGTTGTGTCCTTTCTCTTCAGTCCTCTTGGTTTCCTCAGAATTCAGCTCTTCTTCCTGTAAGCAAGGTAGGATTGAGCTCAGTTAGAGCCCTGCCAAGGTGATGGAGGTTGAGTACAACCAGGGCCTTCCTGAAGCCTTGTGGCAGCACATGAAGCTGTATAGAAACTATGATAGTGAGTTACCTTGAATTCCAACGCCAGGTCTTCTGTGCTGGCATTCACTGTAGACAGAGTAATGGGATCTCTTCCATTGATATTCTCCATCTCTTGTTCACGTCAGCTGAAAAACAAATACAGGGCCAAAGACTAAAAGATTGGTTGCTAATGGACCTTCATGTGCTGATAATGCACAATTCAAAATGAGGAGAAACAACTTCAAATATTCATTGATAATCAGAACATGGAGTGTAACAAAATGAATCTAGGAAAATTGGAAGTTGTAAAAAATGAAATGGCATGCATAAAGATCTTAGGCATTAGTGAGCTGAAATGGACAATCATATGGTTTACTGTTGCAGACCGTGTCGACTATACAGGCCGCAGGCTCTGAGGAACCGATTCTGGCCATCGGGCAGTCATGGCAAATTGTTTTCCATCTTAGTGTCCAGTTACGTTTATTACTAATTCCATACATGAGCCCTGATATCCACAGATAAATGTAATATTTTCCTTAAGCCGAGACTGTAAAGGTTTCAAAGGTTGAGCTTTTCTCCGAAGGATTAACTAAAATAGCTTAGCCACTTCCCGGTTCTTTGTTCTATAGACAATAAAGCCATCCTCCCTAAACCTGTCCCAGGTGCAGGCTTTTCAGCCAAAGTTCCTGAGAACCTGGCTCAGGAAGCCAAAACAGCGGGACTCCTCCCAAGCCTTTTGTCCTTCCCTCTTACCTTCCCCCAACTGAGCTCAGGGGCTATAGATATGTTAATTGAGCCTGAGAATCCAAGTTGTGGGCCTAGGATTCGAACCAGCGATGTACGATGTAAAGGTGCCTGAATGTCTGGAAAATTACTGATGTTAGCTGTACCTTGTCTTAGTCCCTCCCAGCTTGGTGTGAAGCTCCTCCCCTAAATAAAACAGAGGCGCAGGTCGGCCCAGGTGTGCATTACGAACAGGCAGGCAGTGAAGACATGCTTTACAGCTTGGCAGGCCGTGCCTTACAGGCAGGCGGTGAAAGTGTGCAGTACAGCTTAGAGAACGTGCTGTGTGGCTGACTAGGCATGCGTTACTGACCAGCTAGTAAAGGGTGTGTACTGCTGCTTAGCTAAGATGTATACCATGCGGGATCTTACTGCCCTCCTGTCTAATATGTTCACCACGCCTGATCTGCCTGACGCCAGTAATGCATCCACCCTGGTTTTGGGGTGTCTCTTTGTCTCCCTCTTTTTGTCTTTCTGTGTATTCTTTTGCTATCCCTATTGCCGCCAGATATCTCCTCCTCGTGAACCAAACACTCGTGAATCCAACACCTATGTCGAGGCCGGTCCCCGACAGTTTACTATGTCAGAAACAACAAATTGAGGAGGAATGGCTTTGCATTCACTGTCAAAAAGAATATTTCAAGATCTGTTTTGAAGTACAGCACTGTCTGTGATAGCACAGAATCTATATGCCTACAAGATGACCAGTTAGTACCACTATTATTCAAATTTATGTACCAATCACTCAAGAGAATGATGATGAAATGGAAGAATTCTACCAACTTCTTCATTGTGAGACTGATTAAATTTGCTGTCAAGATGTATTGCTAATAACTGGTGATTGGAATGTGAAGATTAGAAACGAAGGGGAAGAATCAGTAGTTAGAAAACATGATCTTCTAACTACTTTTGCATGATAGAATCTTGCAACACCAGTAACTTATTCATTGCAAATGCATTTAAACAACATGGGCTTTGCCAGATGAATACACAGGAATCAAATTGATTGTGGAAAAGTTCAATATCATCAGACTGAGAAACAGACATTTAATTGCTCATATGCAAGTTCAGGTTGAAGCTGAAGAAAACTGAAACAAGTCTATGAAAGCCAAAAGATGACCTTGAACATATCTCACCTGAATTTAGGTCTCAAGGACAGCGTTGATGCATTAGGAACTAATGACATAAGACCAGAAGAGTTGTAGGATGACATGAAGAATATCATACAGGAAGAAAGCAAAACACAGGAAAGAAAGAAAAGACCAAAATGAATGTCAGAAGACACCCTACAGTTTGCTTTCCACCATAGAGATGCTAAAGTGAATGGAAGAAATGAGGAAGTCAAAGAGCTGAAAAGAAAATTTCAAAAGGCACCTCAAGAAGACAAAGTCAGTTATTATAATGAAATGTGTGAAGACCTGGAATAAGAACGCTAAAAGGGAAGAACATGCCCAACATTTTTCAAGGTGTAAGAATTGAAAAACACATTCAAGCCTTGACTTGAAGGATTCTATGGACAAAGCATTGAATAATGCAAAAAGCATCAAAAAAAAAAAAAAAAATGGGAGGTATACACAGAATTACTGTACCAAAAAGAAATGGTCAATGCTCAACCATTTCAAGAGGTATTATATGATCAAGGACAGATGGAAAGTGCATTGAAGATATTGGTGAAAAACAAGGCTCCAAGAATTGATGGAGTACAAATTGAAATCTTTCCACAAACTGATGTAGCACTGGAGCCACTCACTCATGGATGCCAAGAAATTTGGAAGGCAGTTACCTGTCCAACCAACTGTAAGAGATTTCATATTTGTGCCTGTTCCAAAGAGAGGTGACCCAATGGAAAATGGAAATCATCTAACAATATCATTCATATCACACACAAGTAAAATTTTGTTGAAAATAATTTTTAAATGGCTGCAACACTACATAATAAGGATCTTCCAGAAAATCAAGCTAGATTCAGAGAAGGACGTGGAACCAGGGGTATCATTGCTGAGGTCTGATGGATCTTGGCTGAAAGCAGAAAATACCAGAAATATGTTTACTTGTACTTTACTGCTTATGCAGATGCATTTGATTGTGTGGATCATAACAAGCTATGAGTAACATCGCAAAGAATGGGTATACCAGAACACTTAATTGTGCTCATAAGAACCTGTACATAGTTTGAACAGAACAAGGGAATACTGAATCAGGAAGGGTGTGCACCAGGGTTGTATGTTTCTACCATACTTATTCAACCTGCATGCTGAGCAAATAATTTAAGAAGCTGGATTATATGAAGAAAAACGTGGCATCAGGATTGGAGGAAGACTCATTAATAACCTGCAATATGCAGATGATACAACCTTGCTTGATGGAAGCAAAGAGGACTTAAAATACTTAGTGATGAAGATTTAAAAACAACAACAACAACCTACAGCCTTCAGTATGGATTGCACTGAAATGTAAAGAAAACAAAAATCCTCACCACTAGACCAATACACAATATCATGATAAATAAGGAAAAGATTGAAGTTGTCAAAGACTTCATTTTGCTTGGATCCATGATCAAACTTGATGGAAGGAGCAGTAAAGAAATCAGCTGACACATTGTTTTAGGCACATCTGATGCACAAAACCTCTTTAAAGTGTTCAAGAGCAAAGATATAAATTTGAAGATTAGGGTACACCTGATCCAAGCCATAGTATTTTCAATCGCCTCAGATATGTGTGAAAGTTGGGCAGTGACGAAGGAAGAGTGTAGAAGAAGTGATGAGTTATGATATTGGAGAAGAATACTGAAAGTAGCATGGAATGCCAGAAGAACAAACAAATCTGTATTAGAAGAAGTATAGCAAGAAGGCCCCTTAGAAGAGAGGATGGTGAGACTTTGTCTCTCAAACTTCAGACATATTATCAGGAGGGATCAGTTCCTGGATAAAGACATCATGCTTGGTAAAGTGGAGGGAAATCAAGAAACAGGAAAACCCCCTCCTCCCATGAGATGGACTGACACAATGGCAGCAGCAAAGGGCACAAGCATAACAGAACAATTGTGAGGATGGTGCATTACTGGGCAATGTTTCCTTCTGTTTTGCACAGGGACCAACTCAATGGCATCTAACTATAGCAATGTACAGGAAAAACAGCACTAAAATCCTTAGAGGTTTAGTTGATCTCTTTAAGAACAGAATAGGTAAGATTGGATTACAAATTTAATATGATGATGAACTATAGAATTCTAGTTTCTATTATGAATAACTAAGGAAAGGGCAATGATATTAAAATAAACAAAACAGTTGCCATTGATTCTAACTCATGGAAACTCAGTGTGTGTCAGAGTAGAACTGTGCTCCACAAGGTTTTCAATGGCTGATCTTTTGAAAGTGGTTCACCAGGCCTTTCTTCCAAGGTTCCTCTGGGTGGACTTTCTCCTCCAACCTTTTGGTTAGCAACCTGGAATGAATGATCATTTCCACCACCCAGGACAATAATATAAGAGAAGACAAGTGAAAGATATGGCAAGGAAGGATGAAGATTGAAATCAGTGGTTCACCCAGTGGTTCACCCCAGGACATGGGCTAAAAAGAACCTTGTTCAGGTTCTCAAAAGAAAGGTCAGAGGGCAACTACTCTTTTGGGCCTGGGTGCTTAAAGGGAGACCACTACTTAGCTATGCTAAGTGAGAAAGAAACAGAAAGGGAAGCAGAGAGCTGGAAAGACCCCAGACTCCAAAAGTCCTGAGAATAATAAGATGAACAGGCCTTCAAATTCCTGACTATAAAGTAAAGTGATGGTTCTGGGGCAACTAAGAAAGCTTCTCTTTAGTTAGTGGTGTTGTAGAAGAAGCACTCAACCACAGGTCGTTTTGAACTGAAAGGTCGGCAATTCAAACCATCAGCCATTCCTTGGAACTAACTCAATGGCACTTAATAACAATACATACAATATAGTCCTGATGTGATGTTGTAGGATAAACAATGGACTTCTAGCTGCAAGGTTGGCAGTTGAAACTTACCAGATGCTCCTTGGAAACCTTATACAGGGTACTATGAGTCAGAACCGACTGGATGGCGCTTAATTTATATGTAGAATATTCAGTACGTATGAGACCAAACAAACCTTTGAAGCAAAATGAGGGTAATGAAAAAAATAAAGTAGTCCTGGCAGACCTGAAGACTCAACTCAATGAAGTCACATGACTTAACAGAGCATGACTAGAAGTTACATGGGTCCCAGAGGAGTTGGATGCTGAGGAAGTGCTGGGGAAGTCAAGGCTGCCAGACTGAAATTTTCCACAGCCTTCTGCCTCAGCTCTGAGCTGGGTCCCTAGGATTGGCATCGTTCCACTGACATGAGG